AGAATCACACTATCATCATATAGATTTTGGATTACTCGAGATAACACCATTAAGTAATAATCCAAACTATTAAAGAGATGACTTCCTAACAACAACATCATCCGGCCTCACACCCCCAAAGTTCGTCAAATAATACGCATCAATAATAATTATATCGTTCTCGCAACTCATCACTCCAACGCAAACCAACCCATTCAACCAATTATATTTGCCCCCACCCGCTTCAATCCGTAGATGCGAAAAGAATTCAACATCGTCCTGAGTAACGGTCGGTGGAGGCCTCATCGCGGGGTCATCTGCAACCTGCTTCGCGTACTCGGTTCCTGGTCCAGGACGGTAGAGCCCATGCGCCTGCACAAAGAGGTGGTGACCATCTGTCGTTTTGATAGTGTATCGGGCGTCGAGGGTCATGGACTAGTTTTGTTAGTTGTTTCTTCAGATAATACAGCAATGATGGATAGACTCACGTGTGTTCCTTCAATGACTGTTGCCCAATCTGCTCCTCCCGAAGGGAGGATCGTCCCCTCGAGTTCTGGTCCTTTGAAGGTACCTCCAGTAACATTTGCAATGCTGCGAATGATGCCTGCGCCGTGGGGTGCCCCGACATTGATTTCTTCTGCGGCGATGGTGCATTCAAGTCGATACAGGAATGTTAGACTTGGACGGCGCATCGGAGGACTCTTTGGATAGTAGGTGTTTCCCGGGGAGTCGGCGGGTTTGGCAGTCATTGTGGTAATGTGATGCAATATAATACCAAGAATGTAAAGATTATTTCAGTGTGGTAATAGTATCTCTACGATGCCGACATTAATATGGTATCAACTCTTTCGCTCGCAATACTTATAACCCAATTCTTTAATATGTTGAATACAGAATACAGCTGCCATGTTTACCCCGCAGGGCTTCCTCAGTGTGGGGTTTGGATAGTTTATTACCCTAATTGGTAGGTCGACCCTTGATAAGAGAGTGAGCAGGCTACATGATACCCGAGAATGATAATCAAAGGCAAAGATAGCCTTCGGCTCAACCTTCCGGATCAAACTCTTCTCTAACCATAACCATCAAGTCCAGGCGATAGATCGCAAACTCCTTGCGCTATCAAGGAAGTCATCGCTCTCCGCGGAGTCCGATTTGGAAGCTGAGAAGCCAATCCTGCCTTACTAAGATCGATACAATTCACCGTAGATAGCCCCGCTTCGTTGAAGAGGAACACGATTATTCCATCGCAACCAAATCCAGACAAAGTACAGCACCGCATTATTGGAGACCAACATGGCCTTTGTGCAAGCTCAGCTCTCCAATCCAGCAATCCCAGCCAAAGACCGCCAAAAAGCCCTCGACAGAGTCTTTGCCGACCCTGGCCTTCCCTCATCAAACCCTACCTCATCCTTTTGGTTGCGCTCTCCACATCCTGACCTGGCAAAAGCCCAGTCCGAGACTCTACCATCAGAAGTGGACGTCGTGATCATTGGCTCTGGAGTAACCGGTACTTCGATCGCAAGGACGCTTCTCAAATCCCGAAAGGCGGAGAAGAGCCAGATTGACAGCAAAGGACCGGCTGTGGTCATCCTCGAAGCACGCGACGTTTGTAGTGGCGCGACCGGCCGAAATGGCGGGCATATTCTCGAGACGGCGGAGGAATTCGCCGATCTTGAGGATATGCACGGCATTGACGCAGCGAAGAAGATCATGAGATTTCGCTTGGCACATTTACGCGAGATGCTTGATACTGCGGAGGAGTATGGACTTACCGGGCACTGTCAAGCGCGAAAGGTACAATTTCTAAGCGTTTATTTCGATGAGGATGGGTGGGAAGATGCCCGAGAGCGGGTACGCCGGCTGAAGGCGGGTTTGCCCGACGAGACGAAGGAATGGAAGATGTATGAAAGAGAGGAGATCCCAGAAGATTTCTGTCTTCCTCGTGCGCTAGGGATCGTTGCTGGCCCGGGAGGGGCCATTTGGCCTTACAGATTTGTCACTGGTGTTTTGGGCCAATTGAAGGCAGAGTTCCCGCGAGATCTGCTGATTGAGACGAATACGCCTGTGACTGGTATCGAGGAGGACATGAGTGAGAAAGGTAATTCGCGTCTACGATACCTGGTATCTACATCCAGGGGTGTTATTCGCACTCGTCATGTCATTCATTCTACAAATGCTCATGTTGGCCACCTCGTACCTGGTTTGAGAGGTCGCATTTATCCTATACGTGGACAGATGTCGGCGCAACACCCGGGACAGAAATTCCGGTGTCAGGGAGAAGAGCACTCCTGGATCTTTAATTACGATCGTGGGTTCGACTACCTCACGCAGTTGCCGCAGTCAGAGGCCGGACAGATGATGATGTTCGGTGGAGGTTTTGCTCAGGGAGGGGGAGGTGGAATTGCCGATATGGGCGTCGCAACAGACTCAGACATCAGTCTGTATGCTGATATTCATCTATCGGGTGCGCTAAGTGCGGTGTTTGGCCGTAACAATTGGGGCAATGTTGCCCGACAGAGCGTGGAGCAGATGTGGACCGGAAATATGGGATTTAGTGCAGATGGACTTCCCTGGGTAGGACGGCTTCCTGTTTCGACAACCCAGCGTGGACTCCATAATGAAGGACAGGGTGCTGAGTGGGTATCCGCTGCTTTTTCGGGGGAGGGAATGGTGCTGGCATGGTTGTGTGGCAAAGCATTGGCGACGACGTTGCTGATCCATGATGATAAACTGCTCGAGACTGAGTCTACGGATCTTTCGTGGTTTCCAGAGCAAATGCTGGTGACGGAAGATAGGGTCAAGAAGGCTGTTTTGATGCGTCATGTGCAAGAGCGCTCATACTTATAACACAAAGGTGCAATTCGATTAGAAATGAGCTGGGTGACCGATTCAAAGCTTCTGATAATGTGAAATACCGTGAACAGCCCAGTCATCTTGTTTATTATTGTTAAATAGTATGTTAAGAATATTATGCTACCTTTCCCATCTTCATCCTCTTATTTACCAGCACATCCACCCCAGCAAGCCATCGCTTCCAAGTCTCTCCGTTACCCATGGCCAGGATTCGCTTCATCCGTTTATATGATCTGGTCTCTTCATCTTCTTCCTCGTTCTTGATAGACTGAACACTACCTGGTCCCCATACTTTCCACTCTCCTTTGCGTGCTGACCATGGCGCCTCTCCATTGCAGAATCTAATCCAAGCAGTAGCAAACCCTTCCGCCATTCCTCTTTCGCTCTCATTCATCTCTGTCTCGAGGTTTTTGTAGAGATACAATAGCTCATGGGCATGGTAGGCTGTCCCCTCCAGCGGATTCTTAAGGCGAGAACGCTGATCAAAATGGTACAGGAATAGACCACCCTTATCGCGAAGCATAGTGTTTTCTAGCGCAGTGGCGTAGTTGGGAATCTTGAAAACCGCATCTCCGCACATGTGTTCCACGCGCCCGAGAAGCATGTCATGCGGAAGCGCGTGATGTATGTCATATTCCCTCAGGATTTGGTCTGTCTCGTCGTCATTTTGGATATGATCTAACAATGTTCGGCGAATGGAGGCAAAATCGTCGTCGAGAAGATTAAGATGGAAAATGACCCCCTCGTGGTATGTATCCCCAATCATCAAGGCTTCCAGCCATGTTGGTGCCTTCTGTATCTCGCAGGGATCGGTCTGATAAAACCATTCATCGAGACAAGGGTTCCCAGTCCCCGAAAGAACGCCTTGGATGGCCGGGGTCGAATTCGCCATTTTCTGCTGCGGAATCTGTCGGAGTCGATCCAATACATCGGGTTGTGAAGCGTCTATCTTGAAATACCGACAAGCTGCCTGGAAGAGAGCCTCATGTTGCTCGATAGTCCAAGGAGGAATGGAGACAGAAAGTCCTGACATACAGACGGCGCGCCGGAATCTTGGTGGATGAGTAGCTGCAAGCTGGTTACTGATCGATATCCCACCAGCAGACTCCCCTACTGCAGTGACATTATCGGGATCTCCGCCAAGGTTCGCGATATACCGTTGAACCCAGTCGAATGCAACTTTCTGATCGGTGAAGCCGAAGTTCCCACAGCCCTGAAACCCATCATCTTGCAACTCACGGCGTATGGCTTCGCTTGCGAGAAAGCCTCCGAGTCCGACGCGGTAATTGAAGTTTACACATATGATCGGCTTCCCCATCTCAATACTCTGTGAAACGAGGTTTACAGCGTCGAAGATGGGGAGATTTGCGCCTCCGTAGAGTAGGGAGCCTCCGTGGACGTATACCATGACGGGAAGACTTTGCCTGTCGGAGGCTGGGGCGAAGGGAATAACGATGTTCATCACAAGCCCAATTAGTTCGTCTGTTTTTGGAGTATCCGGAAAGTGAGCAGGTGGTGGCACTGGAACGAGGTCATCGCTGTCGTCTCCTTCGGAGTAGGGCCGAGGACAGTCATTTCTGCAGATCCGTTAGGCTGTCTACAGCGAGATTGAGATGTAGGTAAGTTTACCCCATTTTGGTTCCATCATGTTTAGAGCCTGTCCAAGAAGTCTTGAGTGTTGATCTTGTCCAGCGCTTGGGCAGGTCAGCATATGGTATTCCGCAGTATTGTTGGACACCATTCGCAAATTGAAAACCCTCAAGTTGGCCAAGGGTGGGGATTTCTATCGTGCACTTTGTGGTAGGAGTTTGGAAAGACATGTTGATTAGTTGACCCGTTGAGCCTTCATCAGAAGATGAGAATGAATGCCGGATAATATTACAGGGCCAGTTGATTGAGTATAGTAAATGCAGTCTGTCATAGGGACCTGGATAGCTTCTATAGGCATATTCGAACCTCGGCTTTTCTTATCTGACCCCAGACGGTAGCTCCCAGGTTAGCTATCTCCAGGCTACACTCAAATTGGCAGGTCGACCCTCAAACCTAATTAAAAACAAGTGTGGATTCCCGTCCTGTTATCTTCCCTGCATCTGTGCTAAAAGCTGACTCCCATCCGCTGCTCGCATGCGGGGTTCTTCATCTCTATCCGATCACCACTCAAAATAGGAATGTCGACCCCCGGTCGCCGAACCCACCAGGGATGGTAGGGTCACTCCCGATCTTTTACTTTTCTCCACTTTCCGTGAAACTGACTCTACCGTCTAGCTGGACCTGCAAAGCCCGCCGGCGAAAGTGTGATCGTGCGCGCCCGACATGTCAGGTTTGTGCTGAACGCGGAGTGGCATGTGAGGGTTATGATGTTCGTCTCCGCTGGGGGACCGGAATTGCCTCGCGAGGGAGATTTACCGGCGCCGATGCGCCTGCCGAGTCGTCAATTCCGCCGAGGCTTCAAGGACGACAGAGAGATCTGCTTCGGGAGAGGAAGCGGCAGTTGCAGGTAGCTGATCAAGTGCGGAAACCTGGATCTGACATCTCAGCAGAGGGAACTGAGGGTAGGACGTAGTGGCTTCTCATCTCATCGTGATGATTGTTGACTCCACTGAACTAGAGTTGCTACTCAGCCCGTTACTATCCAAGACTTGGAAGACGAATCGTTATGCAGAATTGTTCAGTGACTGTGAGCCTGATAGATGTTTACTACTGACTGTGATATTGAACAATATCGATAGTCCTCTCATCTGGCATCAATGTCCTTCACTCCACGACTATGCACGACGGTGAAATACCACTCAAAGTACGACTACCAGGACTGTGTCAACAATCGGAAGCGCTGTATCAAATATGCATCACACTACAGGTCTCTATACGTCCGGATTTGAAGTCTCAATTCTTCGAGTACTTTGACGCGGCCCTGAACAAGTTCCGTAGCGAGTTAGATCAGAGCGAAGCCTATTTAGAGGATGGTACACTAACTGCTGGATTGCTGTTGTGTACTATTGGTGTACGTCTCATCTTTCTCCATCCTTATCTCCTAAGTTATTAAGCATTGTTAGCTGATATGTGAATATAGATTATGCAAGGGATACCGTGGACTATGCATCTCCGAGGGATGTATAACATCCTACAGTCACACAGTGTGACACGGTCGCATGATCAGGTCTCTCCCTTTCGGGCCCATTTGTTAGAGGTAATGGGAATCATGGATCTTCCGACATTCGCGATCGGTAGAAAACACCCATATCTAGGGTTCTGGCGGCAGTACTGTCGCAATCGATCGATGCCGGACCCATCTGAACAGTATGATGTAGAGGTCATGAGTGGTTTACCGCGATCTTTGGTGGACATTTTCTCTTGTATTTATCAGGGCGCAACAGAACAAGATTTCTGGGATTGGCCCGGTTCCAGAGGGTGCTTTTTGCAGTGCCAGCTGTGGGAAGCATATCGACTGGCTGGGATGTTGGTGATCCGACATGGTGCACTGCGACTGCCTTTTGAACTGGACGGTAACCCAGCACAGCGAGGACGAAGCCAAAGACAATCAGCACTTCCAACAACGGCGGTGATCATCACGCGACTTCTCAGCTGCGTGGACGCTATATATCGAGCGTCCTCAGAAGCAGAGGGAAGGGTTACACTGATCATCAATGCCATTCCCTATCCTGTCTTCGTCGCTGGCCTTCAAACGGATGCATTGAATAAGGACCCCGACTTAAGAGAATTTATCCGGAGGATCCTGGTGGCAATCGCAGAGGGACCTTTCTGGAACAAGCAATATCGACTACTGCTGGAATTACTGGAAGAGTACTGGACCTATCCTCAAAACACTATTGGTATACATCAGATTGCTCAGTCACGAGGAATAGAACTTGGCCTATTTTGATGTGGATTTGCCATTTTCAACTAGCTATTTACTTTGTTCGCTTTGAGAAACTTGCCGTAGCATGAACCACAACTTGACTGCTTCACCACCCTCCATCAAGTCGACTTCTTCAACAACTTCAAACCCCAGTTTCTGGTAGAACGGGATGTTACTCTCATTTGTACACTCCAGTAAAATTGGCTCGTGCTTGATAAGGTCCAACACCCAAGTCATAGCTTTCTTGCCGAGGCTGCGACCCTGGAGAGAGGGATGAACAGCCACAACCTCCAAATACCACAGATCGGACAGCCGCTGCAGCTTCTTTACTCGAGCAATTGTGTCGTCATGGATCTTCATCATGATCTCTAGTCTCTGATAAACTCGTTTGTTATATTTCGTCCCTGCTGTCAGATCGGCTTTCGGAGCATACCTGTACATTGGTGCCACTTTCCCGACGGGCGCAAAAGATATCGAGGAGAAGCAGCTTGAATTGAAGTACCAATTTTGCTAAAGTCCATTTATGATGCCTTCGAGGAGGAAATAAGAGGGCCACAACTCCTGCATCCTTATCCTCATCCCCATCCTCGCTCCAGCTCTCCTCGTCCACTGAACCCTTCACATCGGGTTCAACATGGCACGATTCCGAAGGTCTAGGAGGAAAGCAACGGGCTATCTGGTATCTCGGTCCCGATTGCAGAACTATGCCCTCTGCAACAGCTCGCTGGACCCGACGATATTGCCAGTTGCATATTTCGATGTTATAAGTTGTCCAGGGCGGAGCGCTAGGGCGTAACCATGTGATTAGAGGATCTTGAGCAAAAGAAGTAGTAATTGTATTTGCGACTGCACTTATTGAATTTCGTTCTTGATGATGATATGTTTCAGTAAAGGCACCGAGGAGGTGATTGGGTTGGACGTACCGTCGTGGACACGGAAGAGTCGCAACGTTTGATTGGCGGTCATTGCAATTGATTTCGGTGTCATTCAAATCAATCGCAGGTGCCGAATTATTCTTATCGTCGCTTGGAGGTTGCCAACGAAGCATACTTCAGGTTCAATGTAGGGATGATAAATGTCCTGGTGCCGAGGAGAGATGCCTGTGACTAGATTGCAGGGTCAACCTGCTTCTTTTGTCTTGGATCGAAGTTTGATCTGATGCATATTGATAACATCACAAGAGCCTGTTCGCTAACTGCTCGGCCAGCTGGACGGATGATGTCGTGGGGATCACATTCACTAGCCTGTCCTGTTCCCCGAAGTGCGATATGCGGATGTGCATTTATCATTCCTTTTCAGGCAGGTCGACCCCCTCCCGCACTGGTCTCATCCTTCAGCAGATGGCAGATCGGCTCCATTTGGCGCCAATTCTTATCTCGCCTAGGTGCATACCCCCGCATTTGGCTTGATACCAAGTAATTGACTTCCTACCACTTGATAGACATGAGCTATCTGTATGGTGTACGTGTCGCTGCTCCGAACTTGATACACAGGATATTATATAGCGTTATGGCTCCCGCGAACGTCCTTACATCTTGACTGCCTGATATCACAGCGAATGACCCAGTTTATTGCTTGAATGGTCAATATCTTTCTCCTAATTTACCGTGTTCGCTTGGTAGCAAGTCTTAATGGCACAGAATCAGCCCTGCGACCCACTATTTCCTGACCCACCCGACAATCTGCCACCAGGGACATTCCGTCTGATCCAGGGTATGAAAAGGCTAGCTGAAGTCATCGGAAATCAATCTCACCATTATGCAGACGAAGATGAAAGAGGACATGGCAACCGCCAGGTTATGCTAAATCCTGTCCCATCCAGCGATCCCAATGAACCGTTGGTCGGTATCCCGCGTTTGGTGGCATCCGAAACCACTGACGATTGCAGAATTGGAGTACAGCGCGGAAAATATGCAACTTTACCCTCGTGCTCGCTGTGACGGCACTCATATTTACAGCGTTAGTTACTTCTACCGGTCACAGATGGCGCTGAGCTAATGGTGGTCGATAGGCTTTCGATCCAGGCAATTTTCTGGCAATTGATGGTGGTAGATCTCGATGTGACATATGCCCAGCTGAACCGTGCCATGTCTGTGAACTTCGTTGGCCTTGCCGTGGGCTGCGTGTTCTTCATTCCCCTAGCGAAGAAGTTCGGACGAAGACCCGTGTATCTCGTTTCGACGGCCCTCATGTTGGCAACTTCGTTCTGGACGTCGAAGTTGCATACCATTGCGGAATTGTATGCCACTAACTTGCTCCAGGGGCTTGCTGGAGCGACAAATGAATCAATCGTGCAGATTACGGTAGTGATACCCCTTCTGCTCGATGATATTTTACTGACTGTTACAGATCTCCGACCTCTTTTTCGTCCACCATCGCGGAGGGATGAATGGTTTGTACATGACTATGGTCATGATAGGTGTATGTCAAACCTGTGGAGAAATAACTATTATCTGCCTGCCCTTGACACGCTTACTCATTCCTTGACAGAGCTTTCTAACACCCATGGCGGCCGGGACTCAAGCCACAAATCAAGGCTGGCGAGCATCATACCAAGCACTTGGCATCACTAACGCCGTTATATTTGTCTTATTTGTGCTTTTCTACGAGGAAACCAAATATACACCAGTCATCCCTGGCGTCGACGAATCTTGCGAACACACAGTCGACAACCCCAAAGCCGATTGCAAACGGGATATTGAGTGTTCTACCAGTCGAGCCGAAACGAGTCCTATACCAGCAGATCACCACGAGCTAGACTATAGGATCCCAATGAGAACATGGGGACAGCGATTCGCCTTGATAACCTACACCCCAGAGCCTATTTGGCCCTATTTCTATCGTCCCTTCTACGTCGTGGCTTCCTTTCCTGCTGTCCTTTTCTGTGCCTTGCAGTATGCCTTTGGCGTGGTCTGGCTAACTATCCTATCCTCCACCCTCAGCTTGATATTCCCTTTGCCACCGTATCTCTTCACCTCTGAGCAAATCGGGTTCATGAGTGTTGGTCCGTTTATCGGAAACCTCATCGGGTCTGTCTATGGTGGCTTCCTCGGTGATTGGTCTATCTTGTTCTTTTCAAAACGCAACAAGGGATACTATGAGCCGGAGATGCGATTGTATATCCTTCATTTGCCGGCTCTTTCAATGGCTGGGGGGTTGATTATGTTTGGAGCCACGATTGCACGGGTAAGCCTCCTACAGTCCCTTATTATCGTTAAAGGACAAGCTAACGGGGCCCATTCAGGGAATGCACTGGATATATCCCAGTATTGGTGGTGCTCTGTTCGGCTTCGGACTAGGCAGTATCAGCGATGCATCACTGACGTTGGTCATTGACTCCTACCGTGACGTGAGTATATCGCCTTGCCACTACCTTTCTACAAAACCCGATCACACCTTCTCACGAGTTTTCTTTAAACAGATTACCGGAGACGCCTTCACAGGAGTCGCCTTCATGCGTAATGCCATCAGCATCGGCATCCCGTTCGCAATAAGTCCTTGGCTAGACCGATCGGGCGCGCAGAACATGTTTATTGCATGTGGATTCATTAGCTTGGCCATCACCTTGACCATTATTCCCATGGTAGTTTGGGGCAAGCGGATGAGAAGAGCAACAGCGGAGAGGTATCGGATTATGGCTCGGAAGTAGATTAAGGTTTTATTTGCACTAGGAATATGGCATGATGGATGTAGAATGAGAACCCAATGTACCCCACAAATGGTCAATGCTGGGTGCTAGTAGTGAAGGAAGCCAAAAGATCTAGTAGTCAAGCCTACCTGTGCTTTGGAAATGCCCGATCCCGAGAAAATCCCGAAGGATTCAACTCGAGACGGTGTGTAGAATCCTTCTCGGGTTCAACTTACTTCTTCTTTCCAGACCATCTTTCTATACTGTATTCAGTGGCAGGATTTGTCCTCCGGAAATTTGTACACTACCCTGGAATGGGAACAGATAGGTCAAACTTGACGCATACATCTACACATGGCCAAACAGCGCTCTAGAAGACTGATTCGACAAACAAAGAAGCCCCCCTTTGTAATTTCCACCCATAAACCCTTGCAGATTGCAAAGGATCCATAAATATCATTGTGTATTAATAAAAGGACCCATAGATGTATAACTAGGTAACATGATCATTCGCTGACATCTGCCAAAGTACCTCGCCAATCCTTCCCCAACTGTACTCGACTCTTAGGCTGTCTTAATCTCAGAAACAAATTACTTCCTCGTATGGCATAGCACAACGGACTCAATCTATTTCACATGGCACTATTGGACGGATGACCGTTCCGGGCCCACCGTGGAGTAGAATTAGTACCTGTCCATCAGGCGTCAAGGTTTCTATTCCAAGGAATGCATACGCTGTGGATCGGATACTGCGCAGCATGGGTATATAGTAAGGAGTTTATTTTCTATTTTATTGCTTGTTTCGTTTCTGTTCATGTGGTGAAATTGAAGGTGGAACTTTGATTTGGTTGTGGCGTGGCTTCGGGCCCGTGAGTTATGCGCGGGATGGCTGATTGGTGTTCAGAGTTTGTTTGTGGTCGTTGATAGATCGAATCGCAGGGGTTTGACTTGATTTGCCTCTTTGAATGCTTTAGTATATTGAAATGCTATATTCTCCATTTGTCTTGTCGCTGATTAACTGACATTGTGATTTGATGGTGATAGTTCATTGTGTCGAGCAGGTCAAGAACGCAGCCAACCAATATATCCACATGATCGAATAAGGATAGAAGTGAGGGAAAACGCTTTTAAGATAGTAGTATACAAAAAGATGGAGCGATAAAAAACTACCACGACACCCGTGGGTCCTCAGGATCCTCTCTTGACCGACTTTCATATTCCACTGTCACATTATCCGTTCGTCGAATCGCTCCCATCGGATGGCTTTCAATATTACGCCCACTGGCTTCCTCCCGGAGAATGCTCTCCTGACTTCCCACCGTTGTGATTTCGTAGTCGGGCTTTCGTGGCTTCGACAACTTGCTATGGTCGTAGGAGGAATCGGGCAGTTGTGAACTCCCCTTGTAGCGGTTGCGGCTGTTGTTGTAGGAGCTTGTGGTGCGTTTACCGAGGATGAGTTCGAGAACGGGCTGGAGGGTCGGGATGCAGGAGGCGATTATGACGACGTTGGACTCGATGCTGCATTTGTTAGGTCTGTGTTTAATCTCGTAGAAATATACTAGAGATGGTCTTACTTGGTCCACATGACGAGTTCGGCGGTGCCGTCTGTTGATGTTAGTATTTCTCTTTGGCTGGTGGTGGGTATGCTCACAGGTGTAGTCGGTTTTGTCGGCTAACCCCTTCAACTGTGTACACTTGATGATGGCCATTGCGGAAGCACTGCTAGGTTAGTCGCTGATTCCTCATAATTATGCATATACTTACATCGAGCCCAGACCCAAGGCTGCGCACAACGCGAGCCGTTTGCGCAACGACATGTGGAGTTTCATCAGCACCGTGCTCGGATAGACGGCCAGCATCAGATCGACAAACGCGGATAGGGCTGGGTTGTCAGCTGTTGCCAAACATTTATGGTCGCATGAACCAACCTCCAGTGAATATCGCGTAGTCGATCAAAATCCAGACGTCTTTGCAGGTTGCCTTGCCTTCTGTCACCAGATGTGTCTTCCACAGCGCCTCAGGCGGGTCGCACATCGTGAACAGCACAATGATGCATATCCCTGACACAACCGCAGCGAATCCAGTCAATGTCCACAGACATATGCGCTGAGTCATACTTGTGTTGAGGATCCGATTGAGCATCGCAGTCACCGCCACCTTCGGAATCGCGAATGAGATTATCCCGAAAAGAAAGCTCAAGCAATTGAGGAATGTGGCACGTTCCACAGTTCTTTCGCTCAATAGCCATGCATGCTTCCCATATCCAATATCCACGTTTATTGTCGTGATGGCACAGTAGACGACTCCCATCATCTGTTGAAGTTAGTGGTTGTATCCTTCGCATGGTACATACATACCAACGACGCTGTGATCAGCCAGTCGTCCGGTCCGAGATTGTGCAAAAGACTTGTCCTGATGTACATGCGCGCTATGACAAGGACGGATGTGAGACCTGTCAGTGCCCACAGGACCGATAGGATCATCGGACCTTTATTATCGCTGGCATTTCCATCTTCTGACGAAGCCATTGTTGCGTGTAGCACAGGAGTTCGTGACGTGACACACAATCGAACGAGGAAAACGTAGCATGAATGAGATTTGCGATATTTACGGTCACCTGCAGGGTACGCAAGGGGAACGCAGACAGTATTATTCCGACAAGCGAAGGATTTCAGCCTACACCTTCATTTGGCGATCTGTTCGATGAGCGGATGACATCAAATCTTCCTTGCAAGAGAATTGCGATGACTGATAGACATCCCTTACTTCCAGTAACCTCTCCTTTCGTGGATTAATCGTTTCGTTCTTTGGCATTGGTAGCCAATAATTCTCTCGATTAAAGGTGAGCCAGCAAGGTCACAAACGCCGTGTGGCGGCTAAGGCATAATACGGTGCTGATGCTGGCAGGGATTAGCTGGTCTGGCTAGCCCTGGATCGTCCATTTTGGTAACATTGCATTAGATCCGTGCCACCGGTGGATAGACAAGACGAACACTGACAAAATGGATGTCCCGCTGGCAGGATAGGATCCATATGGTCAGTTGACAGACGGGTAGTGGGGCCGCCACGCCGTTGAGAGGAAGCTTAACATAACTATTATACCCCGACCCACTGTGATGGGTCTGATTCAATATACCAGTCATAAGACTCCCTCAAGGGGTAATACAATAGTGAGGTGGTACTTTTTGCTGGCCCTTGCTCCAAAGCTATGAACCGGGATACAACGATCAAGAATGAAGTGTAGATATTTGAAAACTATCAAATCTGGCAGTATGATCACGAAAGGTTCCGGATGGAGCACTCAAACGCCGAAGGATCGCTAGCTTGTTCTCAAAGGAATATTGGACCTTTTAAGAACTCCAATTCCCAAGTTACATCAGCAGGCTGGGTCACGCCGTTGGGCCCATCCGGCTGAATGGACAACCGCCAAGTCAGACCAACAACAATGGTGTGTCCTAGCTATTGTGATAGTTTGTTATGCTCACGTGTCAAGGCTCAATATGCCAGGTATTGTGCAGTAGTAGACTCTCCTGAAGTTCAATCTACGTCGCACATTGTTGTACCTATTATTGACTGTATCAGCTCATATCTAATATGGAAGGAATGAATGTCTAGGCGGCATGTGTTGGTACTTGATTCAGAAGGACACGGTCTCTACCGGTAGATACCCGAGCAAGAACCTTTCCTAATCTGTCCATTTACCCAATTTCTGGATCACCCCCCGGTATGGCTTCAAAAGAGGTACGTGTACGCGTCCAATGATGATCACGATCCTCCTGTCGGTACTTTCCCGCCACGTTTTGTCACTAACGGTGAAGCCCCTGAACTAGTAGGGTAATGCTTGGAATGGAGCACGATAAGGGTAGCCACGAAATACTCCTTATGGGATAGTTGATCCCACTTTGACCATCCTTTCCAATTTCAAGCCTTGTCCTTGCTTGTACCTTCCGATAGGCCACGCTGGTACCGAGTTATGGTTCATAGACCCAATCACTATTGATATAATAGAGCCATCGTCCGCAATATGACCTGTCTTTGACAATTCTCCCTGAATCTATCTACCCATTGCCCAAGATACGTCATAAGCCACCATGAGAAGTGCAGCAGAGGGCAGCTCCAATAGCAACAGCTGTTGCCAGCCAACCGGCAGGATGGAGGATCGTGCACAGCAGGCCTTTGTCGATGACAACGTTGCCATATCTCCAAATGCCCCTGAGGAGGTTCCCACTCTTCTAAAGCGCATAGCATTGCATGGTGAGGCGTATCTCACAGAGAATGATGAGAATGAGCGAACGAAGATTCTCGACGCAGCGCGATCATTGGTCTATGCGCTTGAGACTCCCCGAGAAGCCATCATCCGACACTGCTGGTCCCAGGTGAGCCATATCTACTAGATAAGCAGAAGTAAAAGCACACTAAGGGGTATGGCAGAGCACACTCTATGCAGCCTTGGAAACGGGCGTCAATCTGGGCCTTTTCACTGCTCTATCGCACAACGACAAATCGAAGACAGCTGGCCAACTTGCCACAGCTACCGGTGCCGACCCAACGATGCTTGGTAAGTAACCACACTGGTAGCATGTTTATGAAAGTTAACTTCTTAGCCCGCATCTTGAAGCATCTCGCGGCCATGGGCGTGATCACGGAGACTGGTCCTGATGAATACCGTCGCACGGGATTTTCCATGTCAATGATGTCCAATAGATACAGTGATTCTTATCCTTGCATGTAAGCTACACTCACATCCTGGCTATGTTGGCTATTAACTCGACCTAGGACTGGTTGCATCACTGATGGCGTCCTTGCTCTCCCCGCTCAGCTCAAGAAAATGAAATACCGAAACCCCAGCGACGGGAAAGATTGCGCCTTTCAGCGTGGGTTTCGAACACCGCTCCAATTTTTCGACTTCCTCACAGAGAACCCTATTCATGCCGTCCAGTTTAACAATCACATGTCTGTATACCACCAGGGACGGCCGAGCTGGATGGATGTTGGCTTCTATCCGGTGTTGTCGCTAGTTG